GAATCCCGCAAAGAGAGAGCTGCTCTGTCTCCCAAAAGGTACCCCTTTATCCCATAAAAGAGTGCTTGGCTTCCCCCTCTGGGTGGAGCACCTCACAATGAGATGGTGTTACATTACCAGGCCTGCAGTGAGTCAGTCAATGGCCCATTAACAAACCATTACCTCTTCGAGCAAACCATTGTTCTTGGAAGAGATAACAAACCTGCCCAACCTCCAACAGATGGCAAATAGAATACAAGCTGATCCTACAAACCAGGACAGAATGGTAGTAAAACCAATATTTTTTATTATTTTTTATAATGTTACAGATTGAAGAGCAAAATCTAGAAGATCCAGAGGTTTGAGAGTGAGGTAGTAGACTGAAGGTTCAAAAGTGCAAGTTGAATATGCAAGTTTTTAAAACACAAATTTTCTCAGGCTCAATACATGACCAATTAATCTGCTCTTCTACTATAAAGGATTCCCACACAAGTATTTTACAAACCCAAAACAGGGCTGCTTTTATGGTTCATGAAGCAGGCACAATAACATAGAAAAAGCCTGGCCAAAACTCCCACAAAGGGGAGATCTGGAACTTCTCTAAAACCTTTTCTACTCGTGCAATTTCTGTACAGGCATGCTGCAAATTACACACACCTTTTGTAATACACTTCTACTTCCTTTCTCTGGATTATTATTTCTAGTCTTTTTTTCCTTATTTCTGAAACATCTGATTTTCTTTAGCCTTTGAAAAACATGCTTTGTTTCTCAGATTAATGACAGTATCCAAATACGACCTCATATTCATTAACATCAAACAGAATTATTTTGGGATCAATGTTAAAGACATAATGAGCAGTGAAGACAGTAGAAAGAAATCTTCTATCCCTGTTTATGCCAGACCACTTTCAGAGAACAACCCCCACAGGTTGAGAAGAGCAATGTGAAGCCACTTACCACATTCATGCAGTAAACCTGGGCTATATTACACTGATTTCTTTACTGATTCACTTTAATTCTACTGGCACCATTAGTTTCAATTTTGTGTTATTCACAAGGAATGTTGACCACCTATATTAGCAGTAATATAGTAATTACTTAAGTAATTAAGTATCAGTAAAAGAATTTATATGGTTGGATTTGTATGGATGATTCAGTTGGGTTTTTTCAGTTGATACCTGAAGGAGCTCCCTAACATGAAAGGGCAACAAGGAACAGTAATTTCAATTAAACATACAAGTCAGGGTATATTATCTATACCTAGGACAAGGAATCAGCTGTTAGTACAATGGGCATTCATGCACAGATCATTTATTATTTATCTGCTAGTTTAGACCAATACATTAATCAATTCTTTCACCTTTTTCAACAGAGAAAAAGATCAGAAAAGGAGAAAAGCATCAGAAGAAATATTTTGTGCAAAGACCTTGCACTCCTCTATTCTGTTTAAGATTTCCTGTTTCACCTGAAAGATTAGTATAAAAGGACTGATCAAAATTCTCTTATCCTCTCCATCACCTTGCTCTTCAGATTTTCTGAAACAGTATCCGTTAAGCTTTCTTACATTTACACACATATCAAAACTCATTCATTCTGAAAAGCTCCTTTTATATAGTTCAGATAGTAAACTCAACAATTTAACTTAACCTTGTTCTTTTAAAGTCTTTAAATAGAAGAACTTCAACTGTGAGGCTGTGAGCTACCACTTCACTCAAGCTTGTTCATTATGCAGAATCACAATATAAACTACTACCTGAGGCTTTGATACCATAGATCTGTTGCAGTGTCAGTTTTATTGTGTGTCAACAGTTTAGGTTGCTTCATAGTTTGTGGTTAGTATAACAAATCACATGACATGCTGCTTTGAAGTCTGAAAGTGTAAAATTCAAAATACTGCCACTATCATTCAACTGAAGTTTACACAAGGCAAGACACATTGATAATTTATCCTAGAAAATGGAGTTTTAGCTCAGTCAAAAAAAAAAAAAAAGGTGGAATCACAATGCAAATACTCGGTAAATCTATAAAATAAAAAGCTTATATTT